GTTAGCCCATAAAATCTCACAAATGCAGAAAAACAGAAATATTAAACACATTTTTGCATATCACAATGCAACAAAAATTATATTAAATAAGGAGCTCCTGGAGAAAGGATTAAAATTAATTGGAGACTGAAGAATGGGTAGATCAAAGAATATAAAACAATAGATAATTCCATTAAAGAGAATGACAACAATGAAAAAATACACCAAAATATTTGGGCCACAGCCAAAATAGTCCTTAGCGGAAACAGTATGTCTTTAAACAGTTTCATCAATAAAAGATAAAAAAAAGAATAGGTTAATGAATTGGGCATGCAGCTAAAATACTAGAAAATCAACAAATTTTAAGACCCCAATTTTTTTCTTATCCATAAGACTACATCTGGATAAACAAGAGTTTATTAACATTCTTCCCAAAATGTGATACCCAGAACAAAATACCATTCTCCAAACATGGTTTAACCAGAGAAGAATACAGTGGTAGTATCAGCTCTCACCCAACATGAGTAGAAATCCTATCCCTTCTTTGATATCTATTCTCTTATATTAATTTAATCCCAATTTTTTTAAAAAATAGAAATCCTAAAAATCAGAGATTAACAAAATTGTAAGTAAAAAAACAAACTTATTAAGTTAATAAATTAAAATGAGGGTTTTTTTTAAAGCAACCAATAATTTATATACATAAATATATATACACACACACACACACACATATATATATATATATATATAATATATGTCACTATCTAATTTGTTCTATAAAAAGAGAAAAGAAAACCGAATCCAGTTTCAAAAATGAAAAAAGAGAATTCAAAACAAATATAGGGGGCAGCTAGGTGGCACAGTGGATAGAGCACTGGCCCTGGATTCAGGAGGACCTGAGTTCAAATGTGACCTCAGACACATAACACTTAATAGCTGTGTGACCCTAGGCAAGTCACTTAACCCCAATGCCTAGCCCCCCCAAAAAAAACCCAAAAAACAAACAAAAAAAATGTAGAACAAATAAAGAAAATTACTGGAAAATAACTTGCCCAAGCATGTGCCATTAAAGCTGACAATCTTAATGAGCTTAAATGACCCAGTCTCAGAAAGAGAGTTAAACTAGCCATCAATGAGATTCCAAAGGGAAAAAAAATTATGACAGATGTATTTATGAGTTCTTTCAAACATTTGAAGAACAATTGATTCTAATATTATATAAGCTGCTTAAAAATAGAAAATGAGAGGGTTCTATCAAATTTCCTTCAATGATACAAATATGGTCTTGGTATCTAAACTGGGAAAAGTCACCACAGAGAAAGAAAATGATAGAACAATATCCCTAATGAATATTGACACAAACATTCAAATAAAATACTAGCAAAGATACCATATTAACATATCACAAAGATTATACATTATGACCAGGTTGGATTTATACTAGGAATGTAGGACTGGTTCAATAAGAGAACTATAAACACAATGGACCATATTGATAACAAAAACAACAAAATCATATGATTAATATCAAAAGATACAGAAGTTTTGACAAGATACAACACTGATTCCTATTTTTTTAAAAATGCACTAGAAAACATAGGACCAAAGGAATCTTTTTTAATATAAGTAATATCTACACAACACCAAAAGCCAGCATTACATGAAATGGGATAAACTAGAGTGCTTTCCAGTAAGATCAGGAGTAAATCAAGGATGTCCATTTTCACCACTACTACTTGATATGATGCTAAGAAACCCTAGCCATTAACAATAAGACACGAAAAAGAAATTTAGGGAATAAATGTAGGCAAGAAGGAAACAAAATCATCACTTTTTTGCTGATGATGCAATGGTTTGTTTTCAAAACCCTAGAGAGTCAGCAAAACATCAGTTGAAATTAGTGTCTTCAGCAAAGTTGCAAGATATAAAATAAATCCACATAAATCATCAGAATTTCTGTATATTATCAACAAAACTCAACAGAGATAGAAAGACAATGTCATTTAAAATAACTACAGAATGTATAAAATATTTCAACATCTGCCTATCAAGACACACACAGGAACTATATGAGTACAACTATAAAACATTCTTTATACAAATACAGACCTAAATAATTAGAGAAATATTAGTCATAGGTAGGCCAAGCCAATATAATAAAAGAGACAATACTATGTAAATTAATTTATTTTGTCTGTCAAACTACCAAAGAATGACTTGTTAGAGCTAGAAAAAATAATAACAGAAGTCATCTGGAAGAATAAAATCTTCAGAATCCAAAAAAGTAGGAAACAAAAGGCCCTAGCATTACCAGATCTCAAACCATTTTACAAAGCAGTAATCATGAAAATGATTTGGTACTGATTAAGAAATACAGAGTTTGATTAGTGGAACACAAATGAGCACAGTAGCCCAGTGTTTACTAAACCCTAGCTACTGGGATAAGCGTTCACTATTCCACAAAAACTGCCAGAAAATGGGGAAGCAGTCTGGCAAAGACATGGTGTACAGACCATCCCATACCACGAACAAGCTAAGTTCCAAATGAATACTTGGCTTAGACCTAAAGGGTGACGTAATAAACAAATTAGAAAAGCAAGGAAGAAATTGCCTTTCAGATCTATGGATAGAGAAACAATTCATGACCGAACAATGAAGAGAGAGAGGATCACAGAAGATAAAATGGATAGCTTTGATTACATAAAATTTAGAAAATTTTTGTACAAACTAAACTGATGCAGTTAGACATTGGGAGAGAAATATAGTTGACTGGGAAAAAATCTTTCTGGCAAATTTCTCTGATAAAAGTCTCATTTCTGAGATATATAAGGAAGTGATTCAAATTGTACAAGAACAAGAACCATTCCTTAAATGATAAATGGCCACAGGATATGATCATGCAGGTAGGTTTTTTTTTAGTTTTATTAATTTATTTTGATTTATCAATAATCACTTCCATATGCTTTTGAGTTTAAAATTTTTCTCCCCCTTCCTCCCCCCCACCCTCTCCAAGACGGCACATAATCGGATATAGGCTATACATTTACATTCCTATTAAACATATTTTCACATTAGTGAAGTTGTAAGTAAAAATTAAAACCAATCAGAGGAACCATCAGAAAGAAGAAACAAAACTCAACAGAAGAGGAAAAAAAATAGCAATTCAGCTTCCATAGTTCTTTTTTGGGGGGCAGCTAGGTGGTGCAGTGGATAGACCACCGGCCCTAGAGTCAGGAGTACCTGAGTTCAAATCCAGCCTCAGGCACATAACACTTACTAGCTGCGTGACCCTGGGCAAGTCACCTAACCCCATTGCCTAGCCAAAAAAAAACAAACAAACATAGTTCTTTCTTTGGATGAGGAGAGCATTTTCCATCACGAGGCCTCTGGAGATGTCTTAGATCCTTGTATTGCTGGGAAGGGTTAAATTTATCAATATTAGTCATTGCACAACGTGGCTGTTATTGTGAACAACGTTCTCTTGGTTCTGCTCACTTCACTCAGCATCAGATCATACAAGTCTTTCCAGGTTTTTCTGAAGTCAGCCTGTTCATCATTTCTTATAGCACAATAGTATTCCATTACATTCATATACTACAACTTGCTCAGCCATTCCCCAATTGATGGGCATCCTCTCACTTTCCAATTCTTTGCCACATGCAGGTAGTTTTTAAAGGGAAAAGTACAAGCTATCAACTTCCATATGAAAAGATTTTCTAAGTTACTAATTAGAGAAATGCACATTAAAGTTACTATGAGGTTCTACTTCACATAAAGCCTGGCTAAGGTGACCAAAAAAAAAGTAACAAATGTTCAAGGGGTTGAAGCAAAACAAGCAGGCTCTCTGTTCTGGGAGCTAAGTGTCCCAAAGCCTCTGTCTACTGATATTTGTGGGGCAACATCTTACAGCCTCTTATCACCCCCAAAATGAATTGCCTAGTATGCCAAAGTTGCTAGTTACGGCTCTGAACACCTATCTTCCTACATTAGTTGGTCTTAATATGATTGTGTGCTAGTATAAATAGCTTTCTCACTCTTGTTACTTGAATCTTTTTTTATAGTAGGATTTTTTTTAAGGCAATTGGGGTTAAGTGACTTGCCCAAGGTCACACAGCCAGTAAGTGTCAAGTGTTTGGTCTGAGGTCAGATTTGAAGTCATGTCCTCCTGACTTCAGGGCTGGTGCTCTATCCACTGCGCCACCTAGCTGCCCCATACCTATCTTCCTTCAAAGTGCCCCAGGTGCCACTTTCTATTCAGTCAAGGCTTTTTATTTTGCCCTATAATATGCCCCAATATACATCCAATAATCTCTCTATAACTTGGATTTATTTATCTATGTATAAGTTATACCCCACAACCCATTGGAATGTCCTTCCTTGTTTGTAGGGTCCTATTAATTTTTTGTCTTTCCACTGCCTTGCACATGGTAAGTAATAGTAGCTACCATTTATATATCACTAAAGTTTGCAAAGCACTTTACATATCAATCAATGAAAATGTATAAAACAACTACTATGTGTTAGATTTTGTACTAAGGGTTGGGGATACAAAAAAGAGGCAAAAGACAGTGTCTGCCCTGAAGCAGCTTACAATCTAATGCAGGAGACAAGATGAAAACAAATACATACAATACAGAATAAGTAAGAAATAATTAATAGAGGGGATGCTCTGGAATTAAGAGAGGTTGGGGAAGACTTCCTGTAAAAAATGTCATGTGATCTCCTTGGATCCTTATAACAACCCTATGAAGTCGGTGCTATTATTATCCTTGTTTTACAGAAAAGGGAATTCAAACCTTGAAATGCTATGTGACTTGCTCATGGTCACACAGCTAGTTAAGATCTGAGACAAGATTTCAAGTCACATCTTTATGGTTCCAAATCTAACACATTGTCCACTGCACCACCAGCTTTCTCATGCTTTATAAATATTTGTTAAGTCAAATTGAATAATGAAAAATTCATCCTTCATCTATATTTTCCACTTTACTTAAAAGAACTACATGTTTCGTTCCTAGGCTCTTAAGCTAGTGAGAGAAGATATACAACACCTTCAAAAGGAAGGACAAAATAGTATTGATTCAGTAGACAAAATGAATTTAGAACTGGATGAGCTTCAAGGTAACAGACAATTCATTATAAAGTTTCAAATAACCTCTTAAGAGGTTTTTTTTTTAGAACTACTTCAGTTTTTTTAGGTTAGCAATGTGAAATTATTTTCAATAATTTTTGAAAATTTTCTATTAGGCACATACGTGAAGATGTGGGAGGAAACTCTGAATGCCATAAAGGTGGGTTCTTATCTTTGTTTAATATGATTCCACTGTTTCACGTACACCCTCTAACCATGCAGGTCATAGGACCTCTCCAGCTTACTAGATAGTCTTCATGAATCGCTGTGTCCAAGAAAATTCATGTCCTGAGGGTGGAATTCAGAAAAACATAAGCTTCTTGAGGGAAGGGACTGTTTCATTGTGGTATCTATAACTCCAGTGCTTAGCAATATGCCTTTCATAGACAAATTGCCTTTAAAAAGTTTGCCGAATTTGTTGAATGATCAGCATTCTAGTGATGACCCTTTCCAAACTTATGTGCAGATAGATGGGTGTGTGTGTGTGTGTGTGTGTGTGTGTGTGTGTGTGAAAACCCTCTTAAATGAATCTAATCACAGAAGGCCCAGGTTTATTGATTCAATCAACAAAAAGTAAAATATATGAAAACAAGTCCTTAATCAATATGACAAGATTGTTGGGGCTTTGAGTCATTGGATGAAAGCAGATGATATCATTCCGGAAATATCTAGTGACTGGATGAAAGAATCAGACACACCCCTAAGCCACACACAGTGAGCCAGTTTGGCATCTCTCTCCAGCAACAGCAGTCCAGTCCAATGGTGGCAGAATCCAGTGCTGAAGGATTTCCCAGAGGAAATTGTCCTTGAGGTAGGAAAAGCAAGTTTTTCTTCCCCGTCCCCATCATTGATCAGGTGAGAATCTAGTGTGCTACAAAAGGTCACCACGAGTGTCCATCAGAGCCAGAGTGATATCCCCAGAACAGCAGTGGCTGACAATAGCATCTTCATCAAAAGAGGACGGGCAGCTAGGTGGTGCATTGGATACGGTGCTGGGCCTGGAGTCAGGAAGACTCATCTTCCTGAGTTCAAATTTGGCCTTGGACACTTATTAGCTGTGTGACCCTGGGCAAGCCACTTAACTTTGTTTGCCTTGACTTACTCATCTGTAAAATGAGCTGGAGAAGGAAATGGCAAACCATTCCAGTATCTTTGCCAAGAAAACTCCAAATGGGGTCAGAAGAATTAGACGTGACTGAAATGACTGAACAAGGACAAGAGGGGAAGAACTATCAAGGGCAAGCTAGACTCAACGAGGGATGAATACTTGGAGCCTCATCAAGAACCACATTGAAAAGAAGCTTCTTCAGGACCCTCCAAAAAAACTTCCAATCACCAGGGGTTGTGAGTTTACCCTTTGGCCACGTATGCTGCCAAAATTTGAGCCCAGTCTGTCCAGGGATCTTACGAGTGCGAAAGAAGAGCACATGCACGGTGTGAGTTGAGGTTATTGTGACAACTATCTTTGTTATATCTTAGTAAACAACTCTTCCTATAAACTAAATAGGTCTGGCTTATAATAAATTGGGAGTATACTCATAGAGGCTCAAGTGGAACAGTACTGGAAAAGCACAATCCATGAGGATTACCAGTAGAACCCTGAGTAAGAATTGTCAACCACATTTTAGGGACTCTAGGTCCATCAATATGAATAAGACCTGGAGAGGCAGCATTGGAGGAGGACATATATTTAGTTAGGTTTATCTGTGACCAACAGGCCAAGTCTTCACTGAAATAACCAATTAAAAAAAAAACATGAAACTAAATTAGCTCTAAGCAGCTGAGTGCATAGTATACCTCCCCAGTGCCTAAGAGGGTACCAAACTTTGACTTCTTCATCAAGATTTTGACCTTGTGGCTCTTCATTTGGCACTACAGTAGCTCTCCACACCTGTATATCATCTCCAAAGTTGTCCTCCTCCATCTCCAAGTCCAATGTAGAAAGAAAATCCTACTCCTATTTTTAATGTCCCATAAGAGTTTGAGTTCCAATTTTTTTCCCCAGTCTCATTCCTCCCCCTACCCCAAGACAGCGTGCATTCTGAATACCCCTTCCCCTAGTCTGCTCTCCCTTCCATCTCCCTCTCCCCTTCTCTTTATCCCCTTCCCCTATGATTTTCCTGTAGGGAAGGATAGATTTCTGTACCCCATTACTGCCCTGGGGCTGTGCTGGGACTGGAGCTGGGACCTGGCTTCTCTTTCACCTTGGTCACAGAGCTTTCCCACTGACCTTCTAAGCTGTCTTTGGTGTTTGTGGGTTGAGAAGTCTGGAAACTGCCACAGCTGCCTGTGATTCAGTCCCCTGAGGCCTGCTCCAGGTTCGCTGAGGCCTGTTTTGCCTGTGTGCCCATGCTGAACTGTGTTCCTCTCCCAGCTCAGTACAATACACCTTTCCAATCAACCATCCAGGTTGTCTTGAGCTGGAAATTAGTTTCACTCTGTCTTTTTGTGGGTTCTGCTGCTCTAGAATTTGTTTAGAGCCATTTTTTTACATGTATTTGGAGGGTTTTGGGGGGAGTCATTGCTTTCACTTTGCCATCTTGGTTCCACCCCCCAAAATGGTTATGTTTTATATAAACATGTAACTGGTCTATACATATTTGTGAAATCTATTATTTTTTTCCATAAAAGATATCTTCTTTTAAAAAAGGAGAGATATCTAAGAGGAAGTTGGTAAAATATTCTTATTACTATTATTATTATTATTATTATAGAAATTTAGAGGAGATAATAAGATTACCGTGGAAGGAACTGTAAAGTTAATGACACAACTTTATAAGAGAGAAGAAAAATTGAAAATCATTTGTGGTTGGCTCAGACGGCACATTGATAATCTGTATTACATAATTGATTATAAAGAGTCAAACACTGTCATTGGGTAAGTAATGTCCTCAAAGTTTTAAATTTTTAATTTTATTTAGACCTCTAAGAATAACTAAATAAGCAATAAAGGCAACTGTGATGATGTGGGTGAAGAAGAGGGCCAAATGTTATGGAGGGATAATGTACATAAGAGTAATTTTTCCATTTTTATAAAGGCCCAGATTTTTCATACCTGAAAATCTACTCTTCATGGCACACAGGCCTTTATTTTGTGACCCACACATTGGCATGTGGTATAATGAGAGTTCAGATCTTTCACTGAGTATACAGTGAATACAGTTTTCAAACTTTGCCTAGGCTACATGACTATCTTATTCTTCTCTTTAAACATTCAATCTAACTATAGTCTATGAGAAAAACTTCTGAAGTTATGCTTATCATACAATAACCTATCATAATTTCTTGATTAGAGCCTCAAATACAACTAAAAAATTGATATTCATCTCTGCAATTGAAATTCTTAACCAGCATTGGTGGGAAATGAAATCTTCCATTTTTGTGAAATTCAAGATAATTGAAAAGTGCCAAGTGTTTCCAATTTAACCTATTTGAAATGAATGTCTTTGTAGAGAGAACGCCAAAGCACAGAAAAAGAAGTCAACCTACAAAACTGGAAAAAAGGTGGGTAGAGTTCATTAGGTAATACAATTCATTAAATAATGGAATCCATTAGACAATGAAAGAACTTAAGTTCCTTGAGAGCAGAGACTACTTCATTCGTGTCTTGGCATCCTTAGAAGCTAGCATATACTAGTAGACTCTTAATAAGCTTGTTAGGTGACTGACTGATAAATGGATTATATTTTGTGTCCTAATGTCTTATGTCCTCCACAAGATGAAATTCTAAAAGAAAGGCCCATAAAATTAAATTGTATTTTGATACTTCAATCAATCAATAATGAAGTGCCTACAAAGTACCAGGCACTGTGCTAAATGCTGGTGATTTAAAAAAAAAAAGAGGTAAGAGACAGTCCCTGACCTCGTGGAGCTTACAATTTAATAGGGGAGAGAAAATGCAAATCAATATATACAAACAAGCCTCATAAAGATAAGTAGGAAGTGACTGATAGAGGGAAGGTATTAATATTAAAGGGGGTTAGGAAAGGATTTCTGTAGAAGGTGCAGTTTTAGTTGGGACTTAAAGGAAGCTAGGGAGGTCAGTGGGCAGAGCTGAGGAAGGAGAGAGTTCTAGTCAATAGCCGGAGAGATGGAGTGCCTTGTTCATGGAAAAGTCAGGAGGTCACTGTCACTGGATCAAGAAGTATGTGGCAGGGAGTAACTTGAAACAAGACCGGCGAGATAAGAGGGGGCTGGGTTAGGAAGGGCTCTGAACACAAAACCGAGGATTTTGTATTTGATCCTGGAGGCAATAGGGAGCCACTGGAGTTGACAGAGCAGGAGGAATGACATGGTTGTACTTTAGTTTTAGGAAAATAACTTGGTAGTACTTGGTGACTTCAAAGCAAAAGTGTGACTACAGATAATGATGGTGCAAAATGAGTGATAATCATTCAGGCATAAATGAAATCAAAGTTGTATGAACTATACAGAAATCTCATATTTATACATAACGCATACTTCATTCTAGGAGATAATCTAAAGGTGCTAGATATGGAAAACAATAAATGACAGAAAACAGAAGTTGATCATTTTTTAGCAGACGAGAAATAATCTGTCATTGATGTGAAAGTTATTTCTGAATCAATAGACTGTGTTTAATCAAGCCTTGACTTAGAAGATCATGAGAACAAGAGCTGGAAGAAAACATAGAATCCATCTAGTCTAATCTTTTCATTTTATAGCTGAGGAAACTGAGGTCTAGGAATGTCAAGTTACAGCAAAGATTCAAATGAACTCAAAGCTGAAAAAAAGAATAAAAATGAGAAAAATGATGTTTTGTGATTAAAAGGAGTGTAACCTGACCTTTGAAAATGTTTAAAAAATGGGAAACAAATGGGTTAAGGACATTAACATCATTGATACCAATTTTACACAGTATTAACCAATGTCAGTCTGGATGAGGAAATCCAATATTATCACTTGGAAAACTGGAAATCTAAGTAGAAACTTAATAACAATAATTACATCTTGATAGTCCAATTTAAGTGACATTGCACTAAAAAGGTAGCATGTTCTAAACCAACTGAATAAATAAAATAATAATACCGTGGGACCCTAGAAAGAATAGACAGAGAAAAGATTAAGAAACCCAAGGAGAAAATACAGCAAGTGCATTTTTTGCAGCCCATTTCCACAGAAAGAGGCAGCCAGAAGCCGCAGGCTCTAAGGAAAAGGTTCAGTCGGAAAAGCGTAGCCCTGGGAGAGGAGTACGTAGAAGTCTTCCAATGTATGGACCAAGGAAGTAAACCAGAAGCTGTGTGTGTGCTAGGTCACAGTCAAATGGGAGCTCCCACTAGGATCTTTCCAAGGAGGCCTAGAGTCTGAAGCTATTTCTCAGATAGCAAATGGGCTCAAAAGCCTATGGGGCTCAGCGAGAGAGGGCTCAAAGCTTTGAGCTTAAAACTGCCCTAAGACTTTTGGGACTCTGTTTTATGAAGCCAGGGATAGTCAGAAACAAATCTAGAAATTAATAACTCTACATCATCTACAAACATGGTTTCAAAGAAATTTATGGATGTGCCACAAGCTCTACTAGAATTTCTCCAAAACATGAAACAAGAATTTTAAAAAATTATCATATAAATGAAATGAGAGTTCTAGAGGAAAAAACTTCAAAGAGAAAAAACAGCTAAGTATGGTAGATATAAAACTTTACCCCAACAACAGATTCACTGAAAATTAAATTGAACCAGACAGAGGTCAGTAACTCAAGACAAAAGGAACACCAGAACAAAGTCAAAAGTCTAAAACAGTATCAGAAAAATGTGAGGTATCTCTTATCAAAGACAACTGACCTCAAAGACAGGTAAAAGAGAGATCATCTAAGAATCATCAGACTACCTAAAACCACACACACACACACACACACACACACACACACACACACACATACACACACACACACGGCTAGAAACCATTTTTTAAGAAATCATGGGGGTACAGAGCCAAGATGGCGGAGTGAAAGCAGTGACTCGCTTGAGCTCGCCCCCAAACCCCTCCAAATACCCATAAAAAAATGGCTCTAAACAAATTCTAAAGCAGCAGAACCCACAAAAAGACAGAGTGAAACAAATTTCCAGCCCAAAACAACCTGGATGGTTGATCAGAAAGGTATATTGCACAGGGCTGGTAGAGGAGCAGAGTGTGGCATGGGCGTGCAGTAAGAGAGGAGCTAGGTCTCAGCCCCATCCCCTGAGGAGTTTGACCCTAGGGAGGTGGCTACATCCTGACTGAGGGGAAATCCAGTGGCTGATCACAGCGGGATTGTAGGGATCTCTTTGCCAATGCTGAGGCAGGAATCTCTTGCTTTGCCCGAGCTTGGATCTGGGTCACAGTTCTGGGTGGCGGTCGTGGGGTGAGGAGGAGAGCTGGTGAGATGGAGCTTGTAGTAGCTGGGGAGAGGAAATTCTCCTCACAGTTCCAAGACAAAAAAGACTGCTGCTGGTCGGTCACTCATAGACCAGAGCACAGGGCAGGAAAAGAGTAAACACCTCATCCCTCATCATACCACCTTGGAAGAACTGAAAATTTACAGGTCCCTACAAGTATCTCTGAAAACAGCTGTACAAACCACCAAAGCTTGGGACAGTACATTCTCCACACTGGAAGCAGACTCTTACCTTAATAAAGAGTTTAAAACTCAAGCAGTTGGCCGGGATCATGAGCAAATCTCGCAAAAAGAGTTAGACTATATTATCTTACTTTGGTGACAAAGAAGATCAAAACATATAACCAGAAGAAGACAACAAAGTCAAAGCTCCTACATCCAAAGCCTCCAAGAAAAATATGAATCAGTCCCAGGCCTTGGAAGAGCTCAAAAGGGATTTTGAGAAGCAAGTAAGAGAAGTAGAAAAAAACTGGGAAGAGAAATGAGAGTGATGCAAGAAAATCATGAAAAACAAGTCAACAGCTTGCTAAAGGAGACCCAAAAAAATACTGAAGAAAATAACACCTTAAAAAATAGCCTAACCCAAATGGCAAAAGAGGTCCAAAAAGCCAATGAGGAGAAGAATGCCCTAAAAAGCAAAATTGGCCAAATGGAAAAGGAAGTCCAAAAGCTTACTGAAGAAAATACTTCCTTAAAAATTAGAATAGAGCAATTAGAATAGTGACTTTATGAGAAATCAAGACACTGTAAAACAAATCCAAAAGAATGAAAAATTAGAAAACAATGTGAAATATCTCATTGGAAAAACAACTGACCTGGAAAATAGATCCAGGAGAGAGAATTTAAAAATTATTGGACTATCTGAAAGCCATGATCAAAAAAAGAGCCTAGACATCATCTTTCAAGAAATTATCAAGGAAAACTGCCCTGATATTTTAGAACCAGAGGGCAAAATAGAAATTGAAAAATCCACTGATCTCCTCCTGAAAGAGATCCCAAAGGAAAACTCCTAGGAATATTGTAGCCAAATTCCAGAGTTCCCAGGTCAAGGAGAAAATATTGCAAGCAGCCAGAAAGAAACAATTCAAGTATTGTGGAAACACAATCAGGATAACACAAGATTTAGTATCTTTTATATTAAGGGACCACAGGGCATGAAATATAATATTCTGGAGGGCAAAGGAGATAGGATTACAACCAAGAATCACCTACCCAGCAAAACTGAGTATAATCCTTCAGGGGAAAAAATGGTCATTCAGTGAAATAGAGGACTTTCAAGCATTCTTGATGAAAAGACCAGAGCTGAATAGAAAATTTGACTTTCAAATACAGGACTCAAGTGGAACATGAAGAGGTAAACAGGAAAGAGAAATCATAAGACTTATTAAGGTTGAACTGTTTACATTCCTGCATGGAAAGATGATATTTATAACTCATGAGACCTTTGTCAGTATTAGGGTAGTTGGAGGGAAAAAATTATATGTATGTATAGATAGATAGATAGATAGATAGATAGATAGATAGATAGATAGATAGATAGATAGAGGACACAGGGTGAGTTGAAGATGAAGGGGTCATATCTGGATAATTAAATTAAGGGATGAGAGGATTATACTGGGAGAAGAGGGAGAGGTAGAATGGGGTAAATTTTTTCACACAAAACAGACAAGAAAAGGCTCTTACAGTGGAGGGGAAACAAGGAAAGGTGAGAGGGAATGAGGGAATCTTATTCTCATAGGATTTGGCTTAAGGAGGGAATAACATACACACTCAATTGGGTATGGAAATCTGTTTTACCCTACAGGAAAATAGGGGAGGAAGGGGACAAGAGAGCAGGGGGATAATAGAGAGAAGGGCAGATTGGGAAAGGGGTAATCAGAAGGAAGTACTTCTGAGGAGGGACAGGCTCAAAAGAAAGAATAGAATAAATGGGGGGGCAGGATAGGATTAAGGGAAATAAAGTTAGTTTTTCACAACATGTCTACTATGGAAGTGTTTTGCATAACTTCACATGTATGGCCTGTATTGAGTTGCTTGCCTTTTCAGTGAAGGTGGGTGGGGAGGGAGGAAGGGAGAAAATTTGGAACCCAAAGTTTTAAAAACACATGTATAAAAAAATGTTTTCACATGCAACTGGGAAATAAGAAATACAGGAAATGGGGTACAGAAGTCTATCCTGCCCTACAGAAAAATAGAAGGGGAAGGGGCATAAGAGAAGGAAGGGGAGAGATAGAAGGGGAGGGCAGACTAGGGAAAGCGGTATTCAGAATGCATGACATATTGGGGTAGAGGGGGGTGAGATGGGGTAATTTGGAATTCAAAATTTTGTGGTAGTAAATGTTGAAAACTAAAAATAAATAAATTTATATTGAAAAACAAATCATTAATGCAGACTGGCCAGACCTATTAGAACTGGAAGGCAAAGTGAAAGTAGAATAAATCCACCATTCTTCTCCTAAAAGAAAAACCAAAATGGAAACTCCCAGGAACATCAGAGGCAATATCTAAAACTTCCAGGTCAAAGAAAATATACTGAAAGTATCTAGAAAGAGAGTTCAATTACCAAGAAGCCACAGTCAGGATTACACAAGACCTGGTAGTCTACACTATAAAGGAGAGAACATCTGGTAATATGATATTCCAGGTAGCAATTTACAACTAAGAATAACAGAAAGAGAGAGAGACAGACAGAGACAGAAAGAGAGTAACAGCAAACAAAATTCAAGAAAGGAGCTATTTATGGCTTGAGATATCTACACAGTATACATAATATGCAAGGTCAGACCCTAATGTAAGATCCTAACTCAAGAAGGCAAATTTGGTTTTGACAGGGATAGATCACTGTGATTTGACAGGATAGAATTCAAGGCTGTAATATATCCTGAAAAGGGTATACCTTATTCCAAACAACAGAATACATAAAAAAATGGGGTTGGCAGAGTGGCATCACATATTAAGATATAGTTATGTGAAGGAATCTAAGAACCAAGGGGGAAGTATTGTGGAGTGCATTTGGATGAAGGTCAATGAAAGGAGAGACAGCCATATTGTTGGGAGAGTATATTACAGGCCACTTGAAAATAATTCAACCAGGAGTTTGGGAACTATCATAACCCTAGCACAGAGGTGTGATACCAGATGGTCTGAATGCTCTGATACCAATCATGCAAACATAAGCTGGCACTCACTTTGACCAAGGAGAGAAGCTAGTGTTTCCTTCACTTGATTTAATGATAACTTCATCCATCAAAAGGTGGAGGAAGTGGCAAGATGAATTGTTCTGTTTGCACCGATAACTTCCTATACCTAGAGTGTGCTCCTCTTCTACACCTCTCATAAATTCTATTTGACCTCAGTGCTCAACTCAGTTGCCACCTCACCTATGAAGCCTTCCCTACTCATTACACCCCTACTCTGCCATAGGTTAGTACTCCTTGCCACCTCAAATTACTTTACGGCACACATACATGTGTGCTTATGTGTGTGATGTAACGTGTCCCTCATTAGAATGTAAGCTACTTGAAGCCAGGGAATGTATCATTGTCAGGGGTCTGTCTACCTGTATCCCCAGTGCCTGGCTTGAACGCTTGCCACATTTAACTGATTCTGACCAACACAAAGGAACTGATTTGGAAAAGAAAGGAATCCATGGTGGGAAGGGACCATCTCTCCTTAAAATTTGTGATAGAAGAAAGCTGAGCACTCTGATATACATCTACAATTTGTGGAGAGGGGATTTCAAATAGTTCAGAAGGAAGGATGAGTAAGCTGTCTGAAGATCTTTGGAGGAGTAGGGGAGAGTTAGCACAAAAGGGATGGGGAACCTTAAGAATGGAATTCTGGAAGAGTGGTAAAAGAAACAAATCCAGTGAGGAAGAAATGGGGAAAAAAGCTAAAGAAACTAACGACGAAGCATAGGGGGCTAAGTGACTTCAAATTTTGAAAGACGTATAGAAAACTGAAAGGCAAATGAAACATGAATACAAGTGGATTGTATATAATGCAACATGAATAGTCTTAGGACCACTCAACCTCAGAGCAGCTGGCTTGAAGGAAGAAATACACCAGAAAAACCAAAAAAGGGCTTTTTACAGTAATGTTAGGGGCAAGAAGAGCAAAGAAGGGCTCTAAATGCTGCTCAGGAAGATAAAAGGTAATGGAGAAAAGGCAGGACTCAACATTTTGGTTTTTTCTGCCAAGGAGAATGATCTTTGGCCTGGAAAAGACTAAAACATATTAAGAGTTCACATCTAAGCAGATAGGAAGATCTTTTAGCTTTCCTAGCTTGAGTTCAAGTCACCAGGTTTAGATGAACCTTATACAGTAGTAATGAAAGATCTGGCAGAAACAATTGTTGACTCATTGTCAGGAGTCTTTGAAACACGGACATTGAGAAAGGAGCTACAGGACTGTAGAAGGGCAAATGTCCTGATTCTCCACTACCTCCTGCCCTAAGAGTAGAATCTAGAAACTATAGGCTGGTGATCTAGATTTTATTATTAAAGGGATGGTTTATGAGCATCCGGAAATAGTCTTCATTAAGAACATATACTAACAATGCAGTCTCATTTCCATTTTTGACTGGTTTATAAGAGATGCTAAAAATCTAGTTTATCACATTCATCTCTTATGAAAATTTTTATAGCCAAAGTAGAGATGAAGGCTAGGTGATAGTTCCATGGATTAAGTTTTGAAACTAATTTGAAAGGCAAAAGAGAAGCAGATGAATTTCATCTTGAAATGGAGTACCTGTTGACTTTGTGTTGCTCAGCATTTCATTACCATCCATCCCTTGTACAAAGACTTGTTCAATACAATAAAAGTTAAAGATAGCACAACGTTTTAAGAGACAGCTAACACATGGAGGATTCCAAAAGATTTTGATATGATAGGGCACTGGGCCAAATGAAATTTAACAGAAATAAAAGGCAAATTCTATGCTGAGGTTCAAAACACTAACTTCAAAAATAAAGGATGAAGATTGGTTGACAAGGGTTCATGTGAAAAAAAAAATCTGTGTTCTACAGGAATGCATATTCAACAAAGACAACCATGTTACATAGCAACCAAAACCACTGTCATCTTAGGGTACACGAAGAGACATAATGTTCAGACAGGATGTGGTAAACAAGTCCCTCTAAACTCTGTCAAGAATCAAATCACATCTGGAATGTTACAGTCTGGTCTAGGTGCTAGATTTTAAGTAGGGCATTCACAAGCTGGAGTTTCCTGATAATATTGGTTCTTGGACATAAGTTATGACCCACGCTCAGGTCCTAAGAGGTTCTAAAGGATGATCAGAAAAGATCCACTAAAAGATATAGTTTTATAACATCCTACTCAAGCAAGCGACAGCTTAGGACACTAACATCCTAGTTGTCTTTTTATGTCTATGTAGTAGATATAAAGACATAAAGGGGATGAAAAGAAGAATTTGGGTTTTACAGGCAAATTGTAATTGTTAATTTTGGAAAATGATAAGTAACAGGAATTGCAAAAATTAATTCAACCTAAGACCAAAGAGCAGAATGTACAGTTTTACTTAAAAATATATAGTAACAAAATTATTACATTTAAAGGTACTATGACTGCTAAAGGCCCGATGCACTTTTTACTACAACTGGAAAGATACAGGTAAGATATATGATTAATATTAAACTACTCATATCTGAGCTAAACAAGTGATTTTTTTTGGCTACTTAAAATTACTTTAAAAATAAAGATCTGGGGCAGCTAGGTGGTGCAGTGGATAGAGCACCGGCCCTGAAGTCAGGAGGACCTGAGTTCAAATCCGGGCTCAGACCAAACACTTGACACTAGCTGTGTGACCCTGGGCAAGTCACTTAACCCCAACTGCCTAAAAGTAAAAAACAAACAAACAAAAAAATAAAGATCAAAGAATTTCACAGAATTAACCTAATACAGTGAATTTACTTGCAAGATAATTTGACACAGCCCATCCTCTGAGTTTTTTATCATTAGGTTTTGGAAAATTAAAAGTATTGATTATAACCAAAGCAGGTTTTACATTTTAAGAAATCTTTTAAAAATCATTTGCACAGAAATTTCCCACTGAACCATTTTTTGAGGGGGAGGGAAAGTGGTTGTTCGCATTAGTAAGAAATGTAATCAGACAAATGTTTAATCAAGACGGATGGTCAAATTATCATATGACCCAAATATATGAATAAATTAGGACTTTTGCATCTTTAAACTAATTAGCAATATATTGCATACTATAATTATGAAAGATGAAGTTTGGTGAAGTGGAATACTAAATTAGAAGACTCCAGATTCAATTTCTATTCTACTGCTTACTACCAGTGACTCAGATCAAGTCACTCTGGGCCTCAATTTTCTCATCTGTAAAATATGAGGTTGGAGTGAATGATTCTAGCTCTCAATCTTATGAAGGGCATAGAGCAAACTTATTTGGAAAAAAACCCCAACATATCAGCACTTTAAGAAATAGCCTTAATAACAAATGACCAAATTCAACAGTTCAGTAGTGCCAACAACATTCAGGTAGTTTATACCCTCTCCTGGTCATGCTATTACTTAAAAAAGTAACTTCAAAATATGTTGTGTATCAACTATTCCAAATTTATTTGATGGTTACCATATTTACTTATACATAATTTCTCCCATTTACACTTTACCATAATAGGGGAGTGGTTAAGGGAGGGGAGAAGAAGAGGAGGGGAAAAAGTAAGAGGGAAATTCATTGTTGATTTACTCCCAATAGTAGATCCTTGCAGAAAATGAAGTCTTGGTAGCTAGCCTTGATATTTTCTATCAGGCTATCGATATGTATCACCAGTCTCTGAACAAATCAAAAATTTTAAAGACACACATAACTTTTAAAATATAATAGGAAAACTTCTAAAACTGTTGTGAGGGGTTCAGAAACAACCTGTTAAATCAGGAACCATATTTACAGGGGGGAAAAAAAGAAAATACATATTCCAGTTGGGTTATCTTGCTTCATTTTGATCTAAAAAAAAATTGAAAACAAAACAGAACCAAATCACCTAGTGTACACCACTACCATGAATTCAAACTGCACCAACAAAATTAAGAAAACAGTGCTTTTCAATGCATTACTATTATTTTTAAAACTCCAGTGAGAGGACCAAAAAGTTCCCTTAAAACACAATATGAGGGGCAGCTAGGTGGCGCAGTGATAGAGTACCAGCCCTGGAGACAGGAGGATCTGAGTTCAAATCCGACCTCAGACACATAACACGTACTAGCTGTGTGACCCTGGGCAAATCACTTAACCCTAATTGCCTCACAAACAAACAAACAAACCTGAATAAGGACCACCTAAATCAAGGGTTCTTTAACCTTTTCACAGACCCTTGAGGCAATCTGGTGAAGCCTAGGGACCCCTTCTCAGAATGTTTTCAAATGCTTCAAGTAAAACAGATAGGATTACAAAGGAAAAGAAAGGTTGAAATCTGCTGATGATCACCTGTAGGGTCGATGGAGCCAAGGTTAAGAACCTCTGCAACATCAATAGATAAAGATTTTGGAATTTTTTTAATATGAACTGCTAAAATTTCTATTTTGAAGTTACAATTATTAATCTTAACTGCTGTCCTCAGGCCACCAAGAGGCAACTATAAGGAAAAAAAGGTTCTGTATTTTTATTCTCAAAGCTTAGATATGCAAGAAAGGAAATATTTAAGTAAATATCAGTCCTTCATTTAATTTAACAGGGCAATGATTAGAATGCTTTAAAACAAGAAAATGTGGAAAGATGGCATTATCACTATTTAGAATTTAGCATTTTTCCAGAATCAGCCAGGCAAGGAAATCCTTAATGACCATGTAGTTAAAGTGACAAAATTTCAGAATTTTTATTTTGGAATTTTCATTCAGTTCTTTCTTTTTTTTAAGGAACAATAATTTCAACATCTCTTCAATAAAGCTATCTGAACAGAAAACCTGTTGCATAGTACTATTTTATTCTCTGTAATTATTATGTCAAAATACAGTACAGGTGAAAATAAATAACTTAAAAAAAATTTTGTTTTTATGTTTTATATAACACCACCGCTGTCAACTTCCATACATTCACACATTCATTTTTAGGAAACAGACAATTCTAAGAGTAGAATACCATTCTGTGTTACAGCAAAAAATTAGCTAGAAATAATCAAAGGGCTATTGTTTGTCTTTTGCAATATAACTGAAGCAGCAGTACAATACAGTGCTTCATCATGGGCCTTTAGCGTAATTCTTCCACACATCACTCGGTTGCTTGCTTGGCATTTTCTAAGTCTAGTCCACAAGGTCTGCTGGCAATCAGGTGGCATCAGCTCTGCAGAGGGGGCACCACAGCATGACAAAGCAGCACGTTCACACGTTTACATTGATTCCCCAGCTTGTCTTTTTATCAAGCATGCTTCTTGGGTTTGTTGGCACACGCTCCATTTCACTTAATGTCCATTGGCTCCTTCCGAAAGGATCCGCGTAGGTTCGGTATACCTCGCCGTAAGTATGTAAAACAGAGCAGGGGCTGGCACCAAAGCCAGGAGCGGCAAGTCTTGTTCCAGTTTATCTACTCTGGAGATGGAGATGATCCCATAGGCATGAAGCAACCAGTGGCTCAAGAGAATGATTAGCCTTTTCTTTTTGAGAAGATGTTTGAAGGACTATATATGATAAAACAAAACAAAAAAGAAATGCAGATATATGCTTGATAGAATTTAACACATCATATGTATTATCTGAAGTCTGGAATTCAGAAAACTATTGCCTATGTTTTTACATTAAAACGTGATACAGGATTCACAGTGCAGATTAAGACAAATTTTTTTGGATGTGGTCAGTGTGGGATTTCTTTTGCTTGACTACACAGGTTTGTAAAAAGGTTTTGTTTTTCTTGCTTTTTCTTGGGGAAAGGAGGTGGAAAGGAATGAAAGGGAGAAAAAGCAGATCTTTGTGAAAAAAATTTACTTTTAAAAGTGTGACAAATAATCTTAATCCCTTTTGACACAGATACAAATTAAAAAGACAGAATTACAGCTATAAGAAAGCAAGTGCTCTCTTCACATCTGGTTAAACTGGAGTCATATGGTATCTATGTAGAAAAATGGAGGCACCATTTCACTTACCTCTCCCACCCCTGAAAGCCTACTGACTACAGAAAAGGCTGGAAGGCTACATGAATATTACACTTTCTGTTTTAGCTATATCACAGCATTTCTTAGTATGTCACTTGCCATACAGCCAGAAATTTTAAATTTAAATCCCAAAGGTTCTAAAAATAACTTTTTACTCAAGTTCCAAATATCTAGAAAAACTAAAATCATCAAACCTTTAAAAAGATTACAATGATAATATTCATGATGACCAAGGTGCTGAAAGATGCTGGTGCATCTTGTGAATCATCAAGGTTAGGGACAGGAACTGGAGCTATGCTTTATTGACATAGAGAACTCTGAATGGGGAAACTTCCTCTACCAATTCAACTGAGCACCTTTTCTGCTACTTAGATTTTTAGAGATTTGCCCAAAGCACTGACAAGCTGTGACTTGCCCAGGGTCCCACAGCTAGTATGTGTCAGAGGCAGAACTTGAACCCAACTCCACCAGGCCAGACTAATATTCAATACAGTTTTATCGTTAGGTCGTATTTGGCCATACACTAATTATCTGAAAATTGTGAACTGTATGTGTGATAATACAAACCCAAAAGTAGATTAAGTAGAAGAGTTGACCCATGGAGGGTATAGAGTAATACTACAATTATCTAAAGACTAGAATTCAGGCAACCTCAAATATCCAGAACTACAATGAACTAGGAAGTTAAAAAAAAAAAGTAGACTCTGCGGTAGTGAAGAGCTGCAAACCCCAAGACAATGCTGGGTTTCTTCTGCTTCCAGGAGAGCTATCACGAAGCTGTCACTGGCAGGTAACGGCTTGTAAGCTAATGTACAGGATGAGACCTGAGGAGTTCCTAAGTGCTAAGCAGGAACAGCCAAGCTGGGAAACACTGACCAGGGAACAAGCCCCTGACGTTCCCGTGCCTGAGAAGGGAAGCTAGCCCCAAGACCAAAGATGGGATCACTGGGCAGTCTGGGGACAGGGACCCACGTGTGCCTCTCACTCTGAAAGGAAGCTTATTTCAATAGTTCATATATCACCCCACGTATCACAATTAAGATTTATAACGACAGTTCTGAGTTATTAAAAGAAAACGTTCAATATACTGTTAAAGAAGCCTGTTGGCAGGATGGCAGGAGAATGAAGAACTCTTCACTGGAGTGACTATCAGAGAGGGAATGCAATCTGCTTTGGTGAGGAGAGTACTGAGACTGAGAAAATTTTAAACCATGGAAGTACTGAAATGGTTTACTCTGTTCAAGGTGGGAGGGAAATGGGGGGAAAAAAAAGATCAGATGCTGAAAAGAATAAGCCTCAGTTAGATAAAGACTCAGCTCTCTATGATAACATATCAACTGGGGTGCTAGATAACAAGAGGTATATGGTAAGTTGTAGTTAAAAAGAATATTCCACTAACTGGAACATTCCCTCTAGCCATTTTGGATAAACATGAGTTTGTAGTACATTCTTTCGTAAGCTTACCTACAAGTGAAAGCAACTATATCTTACTGCGCTAGTATTTTTCAGCTGTTTATTACAGGTTATAAAATAAGCTGCAAGAGTTATTACACATTCTCTATTCAAATATAAACAGTTCTTAAATCTGTAAAATCTTTAACAATAG